TTTTGTAAAACGAAACAACCTTCCTGATATGGTTCTCTGAACAGCATTGCTTTGGGATGTTGTCTCAATATCATGTGAGGATACGTCGGATACCAATGTGACCATCCTAAATGGCCAAAAGTTTGACCCTTTTGATCTCTGGAGAGAATATTAATATCGAATTGTACATATGTCTTATGCCATGTACCTAGTACCTACCTATTACCCATGACGGCCAAGATAAGGTATGCAGCTTTACTTGGCGATGGAATGTTTGAGAATGACGAAGCTTTTTTTATGGCCGATGCCAATCGATGCCAACGTACTTGGCTTACTTGGCTGAAAGCCTGCAACGTCGACAGCCTTTATTGTTACAATCCGAGGACCGAGGGGGAATGCCCCGTGGCAGGCATGTGGTCACTGGAAGGTGGACTGAATAAATGTGGTGGAGTCCATTCTTCCGGTTCGTCCAAAGTTCAAATGCTAAAGATATCGATAATCAAATTCATAAGGTTACTGGCTAAATGCGATCCTTATCGGCACTGCAGTATTTGGAATATCGTAGAATCTTCAAGCTGAGGAAATTGTTACAGTGTTGTAGCATTTGTCATTTTCGGAGTTAGATGGCAATTTTTCTTGTTAATGGCGTGCTAACATGAGTTTGAAGAACAGAATTCTTCTTTGCGTTTACTGTACAGTCTTCTCTGAAATGTGAAATGGTTGACAGGTCGAGATTATTTCGTTCCTTTAGAATTCTCCCTACCGCAGAGTGTGGAAACGTATACCACATGGAAAAAGCATTCGTTCCCCTGAGAACTTGGAGGGCATTATCATCATTCTATTCGAATTGTGTAAATGCTAACAAGACTTCCAGAATTCATAGGTTCCTTCCTCAACCCATCCTCATCGATCTGATCGACCCCTCAAGTCCGAATTACACGAACTATCCAACTTGATCATTCTATGCTCTAAGTAGTCTTGGCACAATAGCGACAACAATGGCGAAATAAGAGAGAGAAAAGGCATACTCAGGTATTCTGCTACTCTGCGCGCCGGATTTGTGGGCAAAGACGGCTATCAATGCCGTCGAAATAACTCTCTCATTATATATTTCTCTCCTCGCTGTCTTCTTCCAGTATTCTCGCCTTTTCGTCTAAAGTCATTCGTCACTATGGAAATCCCAGGTCCAGAATTGAGGATAACTAATAGGAGATGACCCTAATACTATTCTTCAGATACATAACAACATCTTGCAATGTCGAATGCTTGAATAAAGCTCATGTATTTGCTTCGGCGTATTCTTCTCCTTTCCTTCATCCGTGGGCCTAGATGAGTCGACAACAAAACGATATCTATTCATTGACGTCACAATAAACTTAACATAAGGTTAATTATCGACGGTCCACGGACAATAAAGTGACTGCATGCCCTTATTAATTTCTGTAAACGCTATGGATTGCGGCGCAGTACATAACCGCAATTAATAGTTGTGTAACTATCATGACGGGAATCCGCGTACCTTACCTAGTCCTGCTTACCCCCCACCCTTCGTTCGGTATTCCCCTGTTAGGTTATCCATTCTTGAAATCTCGTGCCAGCCCGTGTACGGTTGTAGATTGTGGAGCGTGAATGGACCAAACCATCTTCAGCACCGTGCTTGCAATGTGCATGTACATGTCCCACTACCAAGAAATTACCTAGATACTATTCGGAGGATAAATGCGCATGCTAATGGAGCCTGTCCACTCTGATCTTATCGTCTGAATTCTTTGATAAGGTCCATCTGTCATAGATTACCAGTAGCATAATTGAATACAGTAGGTTATTCCGATAATTCATTAACAGGAAAGTTTCTCCAACGACCCTCCTGCCCCGCCCCATGATTTAATAATAATTCAACTATCTCTCCGTCCGGATCATTGAAGTTGGCCCAATACATAGGGCTTTCCCCCGTGTTATTAGGGATATTCGGATCGGCACCTCTCTCGAGCAAGATTCTTACCGCTTCAACATGGTCTCTGTAACAAGCAACATGGAGAGCCGTGGCATGGGCTCTTCCTCCAAGTTCATCAATATCGATATCGGTCTCCGTGTCCAAGATGATGCGCACGATATCTGCAAGCCCGAAAGATGCTGCATAGTAAAGAGGGTGTGTTCTCGTCACATACGAATCTTTGCCAGGAGTAGATGGCATCATGATTCCAAGCCAGAAAGCGAAGTTGCCACCGTTGGGAAGATAGTGAGTTTCAAAGAACGCATGGAGAAGTTGTCGAGTGCGAGGTAGAAGGTAATCTTCCGGGTCACCGGGTTCTTTGTTGACATAGCGTGGCCAGTTGATTGTGAGATGACGAAGAAGGGGATAATCTCGATGGCGGGACTGTAGAAGTTGCCGATCATGTCCTTGGGAAAATTCGGGATTCAGCAGGTAGGCGAGACACGCTTGTGCCATAAATTGGCGAGCGGCATGTTGAGTGAAGTGGAATGGTGAGGTCTTTGATTGGGTAAGATAATCTGCTACAGATGCATGTGCGAGTTTCACCGGAGGTGAAATATATCCGAATTTCTGCTCCAGAAAGTCTCTTTCCCACCTAGGCATATCATCCTCATCTTGTATTGATCTTGATTCGATTTTGGTGACAAGAGATGAGCACATAGAAAGTACTCTTTCAGGATCGAGAAGTCGAGAATCCTCATCGAAGCACGGTAAATCCGAATCGAAGTCTATGGCAAGTATTTCTACCAATTCCTTGATGTTCAAAGGTTTTGCGGCAACTGTAAGAGCTTGAAGAATCTTTGAAACTTCCGACTGATGTTCGACATCGATCTGTTCCAATATTCGTTCATAAGTCTCGTCTAGACTTTTGGGTAATATTTTCATTGCTTTTCGAATTGCTGATACGCTTGTACACTTTCGAAACATTTCTAATTGACAGACTACCCACCGGAACCTATGTCGCCATTAGAAAAACAATGTTTATCTTAATGGTGTGAATCATTGAATACTTACATGCCATCTCCCTCTCGCGTTAGCTTGAGCTCAATTTGGGAGCGAATATCTCGTGGCCATTTGGACATTATTTTGTCATGCTCTAACCTTTCCGAGACAAAATATTTGATATCACCTCTTGCCGACATGGAATCTTGCAAACACAATCTACCACTGACCAAAGAAGACAGAACATATTCTATCTCCGCTAATTGTCGACTAGTAACGAGCAAACGCAATCTTTGATACTGCCACGATTTCATAGTGGAAATGAACGATAGGACTTCCTCATTTCTAGCTGCCTCATCAAGTGCATCGAAAACGATGTAGACATGATGGAAAGACAATAGGATATTACGGAAGCATTCGATAAGGGTTTCATCTGTGGGTGATGGAATTTTCTTTGAGTGTAACTTCTCATAGAGATCTTTGAGTGGTCGAGGAATATCATAGATTTGTGCCGAGAGCTGAGCAATCAAGGATTTGAGAGCACCAGTGAGATCCCCATTGAACTCAAAGTAAAAGTATGCGAGTGCTATTTTGGGGTGCTGTTGAACTCGAGTCGTCAAATCCTCAACGATTGTGGAACTAAAAGATGTGAGTATATGGTTTAAGAGTAGTTCAGAGTGCTTTTACCATAACACAGTCTTTCCACTGCCAGCTAAGTAGCCAAATAAGTCAAAGTCACCACGTAAGATTATTTGACTTACGAATACCATAAAGCCATAAGAAAGAATCATTGCCGGAGTACCATTCCTCATACTGTTTGCTAGTCAAAAACCATGCTCCAGTCTTCGGTTGGTGTTTCTTTAATGTTGCAGCATGAGTAGGAAATGGATCTGGTGCAGCTAGCCATTGATAGATTTCCTGACGCGTTTGATCTGTACTATATGTCAGTTTCCGCCGTGAAAATTTTGAAGATATAGTAAGACTTCTAATAGTCTGGACAGCAGTCTAGTCCAATATAAGGAATTGTTGAATGTGTTTGGTACAATGAATCCAGTTGAAATGTCAAATCCATTCTGATTATCAAATCATACTCAAAGATTGATGGCCATTCGACCATTCAAAGCTTTGAATTTGAACCGCAGTCCGAACCATCGAAACAGGAGATAAACCTACCTGCAAATCGATTCTCAATCGTATTCGTCAGATTCAAAGTCAAATTCCTATACACAATAAGCCTCTCGATCCCCTTTTCTCACAATCAACCACGATTACACACGTTTGATCGGCACTCAGCCCCAACTGCAGCGAACTCTTCAACCTCTCCAACAAACCCAGAGTCTTCTTAACCTCCCCCTCCTTCAACGGCCAAACAAGCACCTTCCTCAACCTTCTCCACCCATGGTCGCCCACACCCCCCCGTTCCAATTTCCCCTTTAACCCCTCCAATTCTCTTTTACAAACAACCAGGGGTCCATCTTTGTTTAACAACAGTTCAAGTGTTGATAATTGCGATGCATTTCCATTAGCATCGGCCTTTTCGGCAAGTCTGAGTAACGAATCCAAGATATCTCTTAACGCATTCAATTCATCTGAAATCTGTACGATTTCCTTCGATGCGTTTGTGGCGCCTTGACGATAGTCGTAGCAGAAAGATATCAGGGATCCGGTCACTTGGATCACGGCTATGAGACTTGCGGAGATACTTAGAGGGTCCATGGTTGATAGCACCGGTGTATTTTATACCTACTTTTATATAGGTAGGTATAGGTATGGTATGGGATTTTGTATATATAATGAGATGAGATGAGATGAGACGAGAAAGAAATTTCTAGATAGACTTACTGTATGAACTTCAAGTTACATCTGAATCCTTAAAGCCAAAAATATGTTGTGTTTTCAGCTTTACATATTGGGATTAGACACCTAATACGGAGAGTACAGGATATGCAGGTAATATGGATGCTGACACATCCGCACACCTTCCGGAATCGTACCCATTAAAGTCCGAAGCGATATCCCTACTCACCCAATTTTCCGAACATTATATATTATTCTAAGCCACGAACCTGCGTCAACAAGATAACAAGCGTTTGTGGTTTAGTGGTAAAATCCATCGTTGCCAACCCGCTTCCCACCCTCAAAAGTGAAAAGCGAAACAACCTCGATGGGCCCCGGGTTCGATTCCCGGCGAACGCATAAGTCCTTCTTTTTTGCCTTTTGGCGTTCACTGTTGTATTAATTCAATGATTCTGTATACAGAATTTCTTTCTTCGAGAGAATCGAATGAGTGGTAGATTTTCTATGAATTTTTTTCTTTTTTCGTTCAAAGTGGGGGATGGTGGGGTTGGTTGATGGGGATTTTCATTTATTTAGCCTATAAATAACCGAATTTGATGAAGGGGCGAGAAGGTTGTTTTTAGCTTCAAAAAAAAAAAGGTTATCGAGGGGTATCCTAATGGAACTTGCCTTTAGAGGGCAATATATATCACTGTTGGTATCACCATGGGGTGATGAAGATGGAATATCACTATTGTGTTTATACTTGTATTATATTTCGACTTGTTTTTAAAACGGAAATTCCATGTAACTTAGCTCGATGACTAAGCTAGTGTATGTAGAACTACTTTATATCAACAGATCACAATCCTTTTCCCCTTCACAGTTTATTATAATACTATTTCGATGCTTAAGATTATAATTTCTGTTGGGATAATTGTGACATAAGGTATACTGTACAGTTAGCGCTAGTGCATGCGCTAGCAGTACACATACATACGCATGAGTTCAACCTATAGTGTAGTTTAGAAAACAAGCCGAAATACAATACGATACTATAATACTATTCCGTCTTCACCACCCCATGGTGATACCAACAATTATTTGTGAATGACAGTTGTACGCTATAATGCTTTTGAGCTTCAGTACTAGGAAGAAAGAGGGGGGACGAAACCAAAAGAATGTTCATGACATTCAACATAGGAGTTTTGAATCTTCAACATTTGACCAGGACGAATGTTCGCAGACGACTCAGATTATAAAGATTGTATGTTTCCTCGCTACCGGGTCATATCTCCAACACGGCAATTTGCTCTCATCGACTTGTGGCGCCAGGTAAAAGTTTTCGCGGTTGTCCCGATCGGACTTGAGCAAACCCACACGCCGGAATCTGCCCATTTTATTGCATAAATGCTCTACCAGCATCAGATAGTAACGTTTTTCGTTTGTGTACCAAGGCACATAGAACAATCTTCCCGAGTCATTGAGGTTCGACATCTCTGATTCGCTCATAGCGAAATCTAGGCAAGCTGACCAAACCCTGGCCTTGCCATAAGCCATTGCAAGGCCATCCAGGTCTCCCAAGCCTTTATTACTTCGGCTTGGAACAGATATGGGACCAGTGACCCCGATGGGAAACACGTGCAACTCTCCTTGGCGTCTTGTCAGTTTCATACGCTTTAGGACACCTTCTATCTTGATTTCAACGCACGGCACTGAGGGAAGTACAAAAATATCCTCCCGGAACAGTTCCTCCTCGACATCCGCAACCGTATTGGGGCGCCACTTGATGCACGTAACATCTGGCAGAACCCATTTCTGGTTCATGTTCTCTGACTTCATATTGTCGTAGCGAATCCACATTCGACTGGTCGAAATCCATGAGAATGTCAGTTGTGTCTGGTGCAGAGGACTTCGTTGCATTCCTTCATTACCAGTTTGCCAATTGTGAGTGGTCCAGAGCATATCAAGGGCAAGACGACTGAGCCATAAGCCAGCCAAGTATATGTCGTCCTTTAGAATTGTCTTGAATCGTGAGGCAATTCCTGCCACTGCAGCGAGCCTGTCTTCGCGTATAGTGAGATCAGTTTTTGAGTACTCCATTATCAATCGGTGCCAGAGGTCATAGTTGTCCTTATTTTGAGCCGGTAGAAGTGACTTAATTGATGTAATTGGGGCATGAGCTTTAGTTGTTTCTAAATGGTCAAAATCCAGTCCCAGAGGCTCGCTCCAGCGTTGTTCAAAGCACTCGAAGAGGACGACCCCATTACAAAAGAATATGTTCCTGGGTGCAAGCAATCGCTCTTGAAACACCCAGCCGCGCCTGGAAAGCGGTGCCTCATCGACCTGCGTCTTCCAGAATTCCCGCGGAAGTCCAACCAAAAGAAAGCTCTGTTTATTACACCAGTCATCTTTTGACCGCACGGTAAATTGTTCATGTTCCACATCGATGGGATCCCTTCTGGTAAACAAGCCGCCTAATTCGGACGCCCACGAAGCGCATATATTGAAGCGTGCATTTTAGTAGACGTTTTGCATTATTGGAGCCTCTTGCTTCCAATCTTGAAGATTGTCACCCTCCTGGATAATGCAGAGCATGTCAATCCATATATAGTACACTCCCAAGCTCCTGGACACCTGGAGAGCTTCACAGAAGGTTCGGGATAGCAGCTCCAGCGGCAAATGTTGTGTCCACGAGTTCATGTTGTCCACGGTAAGCTTAGCCAAATTCTCTTCTCCTCAGCGATGGCTCAGAGTAACATATTGCAGGCCCGCTGGAAGATCCCTCCCATGTACGATTCGTAATCTCATACCTTCCTTTTCGCGATTATGTAAAGTGCTGATGTGGAGCAACCGAGTGGGATACCAGTCTGGTACTTTTTGTTTTGTGTGCTGAGTACATTGAACATGATCGGAGTCACACCGCCCAAGCCACATTCGAATCTTTGAAAACGTCTCATCCGCCCCCGTCGAGCTTGAGGTGATTCTCCAGCTAGGTACACTTGTTGGCAATAAGGCGAGGATAAGTCTCACCTCGCTAAGGAGATATGCAGACGTCCCACGCCTTTCTCTAAACGAAAAGTCAACAGAGAGGTAAGTCCTAAAATTGGTGGTGTACGACAGAGTTACTATGGCCTGTATGTCGCGAGCATCATGTGGTGGGCAATAACTATCATACTTCCCATTTCGAGGCGGTGATTCCAGTCCTCCCAGTTCGCGTAGCTCTGTTTGAACGCTACTCAAGACTTTATCGAAGAGCTGCGAGCAGATGTAGCAATTCCTGTCCACATAGTGGAGGAATACTTTGGCCGAGCGTTCATCTGAGGCGCGACTATCAAAAGGATTTGAAGAAATTGTCCACCAACTGAGGCACCTCTCGATGATACATCTGCAGAGTTGGCACAAAGGCATATTCACATCTAGGTCCTTATAGTATTGCAAGTTTATACCAAAAGACTCTGTAAAAGGGCGGGGTTCGTTATCGAGTACGCGGCTCAAGGTAGTTTGCCCAATCAGATATGCATCAGCAACAGCCCAGCGCGACTATTTGCCTTTCAAATTGCAATTGACTAATATGGAAGGAGAAAAAGGCAACCGGAAATAGTGTTTAAAACCCCACAACTTATTAATCAAATAGATCTGTTGGTATGTATCACCATGGGTGGTGAAGACGGATTATACTATAGTATGTAATATTATTCCGCTTGTTCTCTAAAAGTATTATGCTATAGGTTGAACCTACGGCAAATACCTGAAATAGCATGTTCATTGTTTTTCAACTTTAATACCCCAACTAGCATAATATGCTATTCGAGGTCTAGTATATACTATTTAAGATCGATTTTTTTTATTTTTGTAATATTCTAGTTCTAAAATATAATAACAAATATTTGAAATAATAAATTTTTCAACTTTAATACTTCAAATAATATAAAAACTTTTTATTTCGATTTTAAATAGTATAAATAAAAATTGAGATAGATTTGTAGATTTATAGGTTCGTAGGTTCGATGGAAGGGGGTAGATTTGTAAATTCGATAAAAGATTTGTACGATTTCTTTTGGATTTAAATAACATATAAATCAGGACTGAAATATTATATTTTTTTTATAATTCTTTTTAGGATTGAAATAATAACATATGCTATTTGAAGTCGAAATGGAAAGTTCCTATGCTAGTTGGGGTATTAAAGTTGAAAAACATGCTATTTCAGGTATTTGCCGTTGAACCTATATAAGCCCGCTAGCTCATGCGCTAGAAAATCCCGCGCGGCACACGGCTCTAGTACTGCTTAGCCAGATATCTAATGGCTTAGCAAATGAACACGGTGCTGCATAATTTCCATCTTGCTACTTTCTGCTAAAGTTGATTTTTCGTTGAAACGGGCCCCACTCGCGAACATACAAAAGCACCTTTCCCGCAATGAAATCCTCAATAATGGGTAAGGCAATCGTATGTCAATACTTGAAAATGCTTACAGCCTAGCAGAACCTACTACGAGTCCTCTAGTCCACATCATCCGTCACGGACAATCCCTCCATAACATTGATCGGGGCTACCCCCACCGCCATCCACCCTTGACGGATGCAGGGCACGAAGCCACCAAGCAAATTAAGATCTCGGCCGTCGCAGATCTCATCGTCATCTCGCCCATGACACGTACCATCCAGACTGCCATGAACGCCTTCCCATCTATTGGCTCAGCTCCAAACGGGACTGAAGTACAGATCTGGCCCGACCTACGCGAAGCCCACGACGCTATTTGCAACAAGGGCATGTCTCGGGTCGATATTTCGGCAAAGTTTCCACATCTGAACTTCTCAGAATGTCCAGAAGAATGGGATCATCCACCACACTCTATAGAGGCTGCCACTATACGCGCCGAGAAGGTTGAGAAACTCCTAAATTAGACCTACAGCCACTAGAAGCGCGGCCGCAAAACCAGTATTGGCCGTCCTCAAGCTCGGCGAGGTCCCCCGTTTTGTAGTATCCCTCATTATCAAAGGCAGCGTCAGTAAGCTCATCGTTGCCGAAGCAACTAAAGAACTGTCAGTTTGAAAAGCCTCTGTGGCTGCTTACTTCTTTGACTTTGTTGAATATCATACCCGAGTAGCATTCTCGGGCTTTTCGCGAGAATTTCGCCATGATCCCCTTCTGACAGTTTTACAGTGGTGTCGGAGACCGCACGCCCTATTAAACCCTTATGACAACTTAGGTGGGCTTTCGGCTACAGCTTAGAGCATAGTAAATCGGCTTCTGCGCTCCTTCTTACCTCTTTATTCGAGATCCCACCAATGGCACGACCTCCTAGCTCATTTGCCCCATAGATGATATAGAATGGCAGCACCGGGGGTTCGCCAATATGTGTTCTTTCATGTCGTGTAGAACCGCTGGTATAAACCCTACCGTGGTAATTTGGT